CCAAAACACATCAAGTAACTGTGAAGTGTGAGATATTATATATTTTAAGGTAAAAAATATATAATGAATACTATACAATCTTTCCATTGAGAAATTCTTAGCCAAATGGTTAGGGTTATATGTGTATATGTATGTATTTTTTTCCATTAGGCTGTGAATATATATATATATACACACACACATATATATACACACATATATACACATACATATGCATATGTACATATATGTTTAGGTAAGGATAAATAATTCAGTACAACTGTGAGCATATGTTTGTAGTAGAGTTGAGGAGCAAGTGGGATATGTCTGGAAATAGAAAACAACTTTAGAATATAAAAGATCTTGTGTACTTTGCCAAAGAGTTTGAATTTTATTCTATAGGAAACAAAAAGCTAAGGAAAGATTTTAAAATTAGGAATGATTGTATCATGTCTGGCTATGCTGAAGGAATCATTGAAGCAATAAAATATTAGAGATCTTAAGTCTTTGCTACTCTTTGAGAGTTGATGGTTACTTGAAAAAATAAAGCAGTAGTAGAGGTGATAAGAAGGACATTGACTAAGTATATATAAGATACCAAATTGACAGGCCTTGGTAAATGATTTAGTGATGTAAGAGGAAGGAATGACTCAGGGATGACTCTGATGTTTTTAGCTTTGAACCATAGAATTGTAGTTAAAAATAAATAAGTAAATAATAAAAGATAAAAACAGACTTTGCATTGAGATTTTAAAGCTAGTTTCACCACTTTTTATTTTATCAGTGTGACCTTGGGCAATTTGCTCAAACTCTTTGTGCTTAATTTTTTAACTTATAAAACAAGTATACTAATTATTTTTAACTCATCAGATTTTTGTGAGGATTAATGAATTAATGTATGCAGTCCTCTTAAAATGGTGCCTGGAATATTGTAAATGTTGAATAAATGTTTCTCCTTGATATTATTATTATTATTATTATTATTATTATCGTAGAAGATCATTATTATCACTGCCATGATTCCATTACACAAAATAAAGAATTTCAACCAAGACAATGATTTTGAGGAAAAGATAATCCCATTTTGGACTGATCAAACATTTTCTTTAAACATCTAAGTTAGAAATGACAAGTAGGTTATCAGAAATACAGTTCTGGAAAGAGATGATGGCTAGTATATAAATTTGGAAGTCAGCCATATACAGGTCACATTTGAGGCTATGAAATAGCTTGGATTGCCCAAGGGGAAAATATTAAAAAAGAAGAGAAGAGAGGAATTATGAAAAACAAATCAGTCTTCATGGTAATACTAATATTTAAGCAATGAGTAAATAAGCCATCATAGTACCCTGAAGACCAGTCAGAGATACAATGGAAGAATGTGGAAAGATGAGTAAGATAACCAAATAGATAGGGCTCCCCACCCCCCTAAAAAAATGAAGAAACCTGAAGAGTGCTCATTGGAATTCAACAAATGATTTTGGTGAATGAAGTAATTAACTAATTTGATAATTGAGAAGTCATTGGTGACATCGCAAGCTATTTCCATCTGTTCCTATCATATCACTTGGCATGTGAATACACTGAAAATAAATATTAGACTAAAAAAGCAATTTAAGCAATATTAGGTATGCAGTTTATATTTCAGTGGGCTAAGTTATTAGTGAAGAAATGAGAAAAGCTATGCTTTGGTAAAAATATAATTGTAGACAGATTTTTCTATTAAATTGAGTTATAGTGCTATCTAAATTTGTTCCATACTATTATTCTCACCATTGTAAGAGTATATGAGTCAGCAAATTTTGTTCATAGGCTGAAAGAAAACATTCCTATATGGAGAAACTATGGAGGAAAGAAAAGTAAACTTTTTGAGTCAAACTGGTTGGATATAAGAACATAAATAAACCTAAGATTTTCTATACACAAGTAATAATTCGAAATTACAGTGGAAAAATGATTTCATTTATAGGAACAACTGTGAAATATGTTCACTAAGAATCACTTTAACAAGAAATAAATGATACCTAGTATATTTTGCTTGGTTTAATGGAATGAATAAAGAAGTTCCTGATGGGAAGATTGGAAAAAAAAAAATATTTACTATCAGATTTTTTTCTACACTTAATTTTAATCAAAATCTCAATAGGATACCTTCAGGAAATTTAAGAATCTATCCTAAAATTCATATAAGCAAACCACCTTTGGTAAGGTAATTTGGAGAAAGATGAGTAAATAGCTAGACAGAACAAATTACTAAAGCATATTAAAAAATAATTAAAACTCAGAAATTAAAGAAAAATTTAAAAATTTCAACGAGCACAGCTCATAATAAATTATAAATTATTCATTAATTTAGAAACATAAATAGCTAATGAAATAAAGAATATTTAACTTCATTAATAATGAAAGATATACAAATAAAAAGCACAGTGAGAAATATTCTTTTCCTTTTTTGATTAATTGATTTAGGAGAGGTACTTGTAATATTTGACAAAAATAACAATATACTTTATATGTTTATGTTCTTTGTCCTTGTAATTATATTTCTATGAAGCTATTTTAAGGAAACTGAATTATAAAAAAGACATTTATTTAAATATGCAGTACTTCTTGAAACATTATTTATAATAGCAAAATATTATTGGAAGCAATCTAAATGCCCCACAAAACAAGAAAAGTTAATTATGGCAATCCATATCATGCAATATTATGCAGGCATTAAAATCATAATTACTTGGGAAATCTTTATGAAAAAATTTTTAGTAAAAAGCTAGATGCAGAAATACATAAGCAATTTGATTTAAACCAGGAAATATGTAATATATCATAGCTATTTCAACCATTGGGGGGAAGGGAATCTGATTTATGCATTGCTTTGCTAAGGATACAGTAATTTAAATAGAAAAATGGAAGTGTATGTAATTAGAGGTTTATCAGATAGCTATTAGCCTACTCACTTAAATTCAATACAACTGTTTATTTTTTTAAATACAACTGTTTAATACCACTCTCTAGACAAAAATAAATACAAGCATTTTCCAAAAATTGACAAAAAATGATATTAAAATAATGCCAGTTAAAGTATTAATACACATAGAATAAATTTTTTTGAGATATAATTTTTCATTTTATGAACCAATTTAAAGTAAATAAGATGTTCAAAAGGTAGTAGAAGAGTCTCCAGAATCAGAGCAAGTGGTCAAATTCTGACAGTTGATGTGTCTCCAGTAGGAACTGCAGGTTAGAGGTTCTTCTCTAGAGGAATAGATCCTAGAACAGTATCCTTAAATGAGGATTCATGTGGACCTGTCTGGGAGCAAAATACCTTAGGTGGAATTTGTTCTAGTTGGCTGACAAGAGATCGAGTGTTTTAGGAGGTGGGAATTGTAAGAAGGATGATGAAAAACAAGATGTGAATTTAAGCATTCAAAACAATTCTCACGTATTTGCCTAAATATCATGATTATTAATTTTCTACTACTTTTCTTCAATCCAATAAAAGATCACAAGAAAAAAATCTGGAAGTGAAAACCGTTTTGTTTGTGGACAATTAATTATGTAGAAAATGAAGTACAGTAGTCATTTTACTGAAAGAGTATGAAGAGCACTGAGCTACAATTCCAGACATATGGAAGCTTTGCCAGTTTAACTCCTGCTGCATAAACAAACTTGAGGAAGATTCACAGTTGTTCTAAACTTTAGTTTCCTCAACTATAAAATAAGGGATTTGTTTTTAAATTATCACTAAATCCTTTACATTCTTAAATTTCTGTGACCCTAATTCCAATTACAGCCACTTCACAGTTACGGCAACAATAATATTTCATTTATTGTTACTATTTAACTCTAGTACAAGATCTTTTCCATACATTATTCTATTTAATCTTTGCAATGACTTTATAAAGCAGGTTCAATTATAAGCTTCATTTTTAATGAGAAACTAGGGTTTGGAGAGGTTAATTAGCTTGCTCAAGGTCACATAGCTGCAGTTGGCAGAGTAAAGATTCAAACCCAACTGACTGCAAATCCTGAACTCAGAACTACTGGACTATACTTTCTCTTTATTTCTAATATATATTTTCTAAGAAACTAGAGCTTATTAACAGCTAGTTGCAAGCATGTGAGATGTTTCTTTAATTCACTTGACAGCATAGAAAGTTGTGTCTTAATGACTGTTATTTTCTACAACCACCTAGTAGATTGTCCTATAGATTTATCTTTGTTGAATATACTTAAAGAATTTTTTTCAAGAGAATATTAAATCGTTTATTGATTACACATGATAATGGATGATATACAAGCTTTAATCCCTTCTATAATTTTATCTGATACTATAATTCTATTTAGATATATTGCATAGAATGTGCCAACAATCATAATAACCAAATAAACTCCAGGACTTTGCTTGGTTGACCCTTTTAACGGTGAACTCCAGGTCACAACATATTAACTGTCAGTTCAACCACACCAAGGTTTGTGGAGACAATGGCTTCTGTGCCCAAGCAGGTTGCAAATAAGTTTTGAATGGAACTGGAATCACCCTGAAGGAATTCTAACTTCACACTCTTGGGGTAGTTTACCAAGATGGCTTCAGAGTAGACTGACTTTTACACAACACATTTAAAAAGACACATTTATTCAGCGTCATGATCAGACTATTACATTTAGCAATCAACAGCTGGGTGCAAAAAAAAAATCTACATTAAAACCCTTTGTTGGAATGCTTTACACTTTCCACAGAACAGAAACTAAAATAACCTGTTATACAGTTAGTCACAAATACAGTCCTTGAGTTTTTTTGCCCATACACATGAGTATTGTCTAAAACATGTCTTCTTTGTAGCAGCTAGGCCCTCCCACCACTGTGCTTGGCTGAGATCACACATCTGTTGTAACCTATAGCTTCCCTGTCACTTCTCCGGCTCTCCTCTCTTTCTAAGCTTTGTTTCCGGGCATAATGAAAACCTTCCGCCACTGCCATAGCTTCTTCTGCTGCTGGAACTGCCAGAGCCACCTTGGTTTCATGGTTTGGCAAAGTATTGGCCTCCACCACCATAGGGGCCAGATCTTCTGCCTCCAAAATTTCCTTCTTTCATGGGTCCAAAATTTGAGGATTGATTGTTGTAATTGCCAAAATCGTTATAGCTTCCGCCACCTCCATAGTTGCTTCCATCATTACCAAATCCATTATAGCCATCCGCACTGCCACCATATTCACCAGCACCTTGACTGCCACCGAAGCTACCTCGACCACTGAAGTTCCCTCCATGACCAAAGTTCTCATTCCAGCCAAAACCACCTCCACGACCACTACCAAAGTTTCCAGAACCACTTCGGCCTCTTTGGCTGGGTGAAGCACTAGCCATCTCTTGCTTCCCTAGGGCTTTCCTTACTTCACAGTTGTGGACATTCACAGTATGGTATTTTTGAATGACAATCTTGTCTACAAAGTCGTGGTCATCAAATGTTACAAAAGCAAAACCTCTCTTTTTGCCACTGCCTCGGTCAGTCATGATCTCAATCACTTCAATTTTCCCATACTCTTCAAAATAATCTCTTAGGTGATGTTCTTCAGTGTCTTCTTTAATGCCACCAACAAAAATCTTTTTTTTTTAAATTTTCATTTATTTATGATAGACATACAGAGAGAGAGAGAGACAGGCAGAGACACAGGCAGAGGGAGAAGCAGGCTCCATGCACCGGGAGCCCGACGTGGGACTCGATCCCTGGTCCCCAGGATCGCGCCCTGGGCCAAAGGCAGGCGCCAAACCACTGCGCCACCCAGGGATCCCCAACAAAAATCTTTCTCACAATTAAGTAGGCACCAGGTCTTTGAGAATCTTCTCTTGAGACAGCCCTCTTTGGTTCCACAACTCTTCCATCCACCTTGTGTGGCCTTGCATTCATGGCTGCATCCACCTCCTCCACGGTGGCATACATGACAAACCCAAAGCCTCTGGAGCGCTTGGTGTCTGGATCTCTCATTACCACACAGTCCACAAACATTCCCCATTGCTCGAAATGGCTCCTCAGACTTTCATCGGTTGTTTCAAAGCTCAAACTTCTGATGAAGAGCTTCCGCAGCTGCTCGGGCTCTCTGGGTGACTCTGACTTAGACATGACAGCGGTGGGAGGGGAGACTTTAACGATGCTTACTCAGTGGCGTCCAGGGGCAGAAAGCAGTAATCTAATGAACGTATCTACTTAAAGAATTTTTCTCAATGTACCCAAATGTTGAGATCTTTCAAAAATTAGTGGAGAATATTATGTTGAAAATTTTTGGCCCTTTCTGGTTTAACATTTGCAATTTGCTGTAAGCTTGGTACATATTTCAAAATTGTATTAAGATAGTTATTTTTATAATGTCTTTGTTTGCCATAATTTATCATAAAATTAAAGGATCACATTTTTTTTCTCTGAATAATGAAATTCAATGGCTAATTCAGTGGTAAAAAGTAAAATTTATCTGAAACTATTTTGTATTTTATTTTATTTTATTTTATTTTATAAGATTTTATTTATTCATAGAGACACAGAGAGAGAGAGAGAGAGAGAGAGGCAGAGACACAGGCAGAGGGAGAAACAGGCTCCAGCAGGGAGTTGATCCTGGGTCTCCATGATCATCCCTTCCCAGACATGGTGGAAAGATGGAAATCAGGAGACATTTCACAGAAGATGAAATCTGTATTGCTCCAATACTCATGGCTTCGTATGCTTTAATAAGCCTTGAACAGAGGGAGGTATTGCTGATAGACATACAAATCAAGTAAAAACCTAACAGCCTGTGTATGTGTAGTATTCAATATAAGAAATGTAAGTCTGAATATCAAGAGAGAGATTGGATTAGAGGAATGTGTTGAGGGCACCCGGGTGGCTAAGTGGTTGAGCGTCTGCCTTTGGCTCAGGTCATGATGCCAGGTCCTGGGATCAAGTCCCACATCAGGCTTCCCCAAGGGAGCCTGCTTCTCCCTCTGCCTGTGTCTCTGCCTTTCTCTGTGTGTCTCTCATGAATAAATAAATAAAATATTTTAAAAATTGGTTGAGTATTATCAATATCTAGTTATTAATTAAAATTTTTGCACTGCACAAGAAGTAGATACTGGGGGGGCACTTGACGGGATGAGCACTGGGTGTTATTCTGTATGTTGGCAAATTGAACACCAATAAAAAATAAATTTATTATAAAAAAAAGAAGCAGATACTGGAAATGACAATGGGACCACAAACATTAAAGAGGATACTCTGAAGAAGAAATGCTAAATTGATCCTCCTTACATAATTCTCTCTCCAGTGCTACTCTCTTTGTAACTTTGAACAACCCTCCTGCAGTACTGGTACAACTTCTGTCATCTGTAGAGGGAGACAATGAAGCTAGCTCATTTGTTCCCAACCTGGGCCCTCAAAGGTAGTTTTGGAGTTCTTCAAGCTAAATTAAAACTCCATATTATTTTTAGTATTAAGAAAAACAGTCTACATTGCAGCTTGTTCACTGATTTTAAATCCTATAAAATTTAGGGTCTGTGACTAAAATAATGAGAGAATCTTTACTGTGTAAACATTGCAAACCATTTTACAAGATGGTTCCTAAGGTCCCTTCCAGCTCTGAAAACTTATTATTCTATTATCTCGGTGAATATTTGCAGTGGTTGTTTTTTTACATAGAATTTTACTGCACCAAACAATATTCACACAGTCCCCAGCCCTGAGAATGTTGCCTGGCTGGCAGCTGCACAGGGGCCATTAGCACAACAGTTTACATGAAACGTGATGATATCTGTTTTCTTTGGTTTGTTAAAATACAAACATAGCATTTAAAATCAGTCATTTCTTGGAAGGAAGGCAAATGGTATAATGAAAGGAAGACTGAGTTGTGAACATGAATTTCTTGAAAATGCCTAGTTTATTGATATCTACTTAGAAGTCAGTTTTTTGTTCAATTATGTCTTTTGGAAGAAACTAAAATTAACTTTCAGGCATGTCACTTTGCTTCTTTGTAAAAGGGATAGGATGGTAATGACACTCACCTAGTTACTCCATGGAGGCTTCCTAAAAAACATTGCAGAAAGAGTCTCTTGTTCTTTTGAATATTGAAGGTCAAAAACAGGGTATTTAAAAATAATGTGATCAACCCTCATAACCATATTTTTAGAAGAAAATTATTTCCACCATTAAAAATTTGCTTGTGTAATTAAATATTGAAACCATATAAAAATATAGCCAACAGATTAATTAGAGCTTAGTTCTAGATAGTATATAAAATATATGCAAAATATGTGTATATGTATATATGTAAAATATGTATCTGTCTTATGAAGACTCAGCTAGCAAAAAGCTACTACATCACATAAAACAGAAACACAACAAAAAAATTAGTCTCTATCAGGAGCCAAGTTTGAAATTAATGATGGTGAACATTTTAGACAGTAGGACACAACCAAGCCTACATGGTCTCCTTGGATATATAAATAACAAGTAACAAAATTATAGACTAGGATTTGATGCAAAGAAAACTTGAGAGAGAATGAAATCCTCAAATTTTAACTTATTCTTTCATATTTAGCATTTAGGAGGAAAATTATTGGAATTCTGTGCTTTGGACATGAATCCCCATTTTCTGGTAAATAAATATATGAGTTTTCTTTCTTGTAGAAGGAGGTTTGGCAAATAATGAAAACTCAAGTTATGTATAATTTTCATTTTCTTAACTTTTAGTAATTTACTTATTTAATTATATTTTGAAATTATATATTTGAATATATATATTCTTTCAAAATATAATATATATAAAATATATGGGTCATATATTGTAAAGACTAGAATATTCTTATAACATGAATGTGTAAGTGAATCTAATGGAAACTGAAACACATTTTAAACTTTTAGACTTTTCAAACTGCCAATCTTATTCAGTCTGTTGCTTCATCAGTTGAATTAATGTCAGTTAGCTGATTCCTTGAATTTCATTTTACTGTAAGTCCACTAACTGATTTGACAGTAGCTCAATGAAAGATCCCTATTGGATTTTAAAGTTTAATATTGCATTAAGTTAATTACGAGAATGATATTTCTTTTCTCCTCCTACGTGTTTTGCAGCAGGTATTAACAAATATTTATAGCCCCAAATAGCCTGTTGTTAGAGCAGCCTTTGTTCTTCAACCTCTTAAAACATACCAGAAAAGGATATTTACACAAGCTATGCTATTCACACTGTGTCACTGGCCTATTATTTACTATAAATAATGAAATGTCTGGGAGAGTGATCTGAAGTGAGCCATGACTCAGGACAGCCAATTTTGTGGTAGATCACAATTCCATGGGATTCAGAAACAGCACAGATTTTCAGTGCCCTTCATTGGGAGCAGGTACCAAGTAAAGAGTGCTTCCACTTTCTCCATCGAGTGGTATTATTTTTAAATTGATGTTGAAAAATAAATAAATAAATAAAAATAAATTGATGTTGAGATTCCAGTGAATATAGGAAGATCACTTTTTGGGGGGAGTGGGGTTTAGAAGAGGAAAAATTAACAATTGTTAAAATATCTTTACAAAATGTCAAGGATGGCAAATTCACTTAATACACAGAATTACTGGTAACCTGGAAATTACCTGAAGGCTTTCAAGTGACTACTGAATTAATTTATTCCTACCTTGTGAATATAAATTAGTCTTTCTTCATCCAAGGAGGCAAATATGGACATATTTTTTCCGAGTTTTCACCTAAAATTATTTTTTTTAGCTAGGTCCTTTGAAAGGATGAACAGTAGATGGAACACCTGAATGGTTTAGTGGATTAAGTATAGAATTCTTGATTTCAGCTCAGGTCATGCTCTCAAGGTCCTGGAACTGTGCTGCCCATTGGAGCTCTGTGTTCAGCAGGGAGTCTGCTTGAGATTCTCTTTCTCCTTCTTCTGCCCTTCCCTCCACTTCCTGCCTGCATGCACATGCTCTCTCTCTCTTCCTAAAATAAATAAATCTTAAAAAAAAAAGATGAATAGCAGAGCGTTCCTATGAAACATTTCCTAAGCCAAAATGGCATAAATCAAACAAGCAAGTACTCTTTCATAAAAGCAAAAATCCTCCTCAGATTTTCCTGTATTTAGCATTTCATTATTTGGGATAGATCTGGCAAACAGATCTTCTTTTATTCAAAAACTGTACTAGTGAGACTGACATAGTACTTGGCATTGGCTTCATAATAAAATAAATGCCTTAAATTATTGACAGTGTATTATACTGCTTGGCATATAAAAATATAAGCACTTAACTCCTAATAAAATGAAAATTTAGAATAGGCATGCTATAACGTTGTTTTGTGTTTGTGTTATTATTTCCTCTAGGATAGTTGAAGTGCTTCTAATAGTAGTTATTTAGTTCTCAAAGCCACCACATGAAGTGCTCAGCAGCAAATATTGTTGACCCTGCTTCACAAATTGGAACACTTTGTCAGGTTTATAGCCATATAAACAAATAGACCATAATAAGAAAATCTTAATTATTAGTTCACTAATGCTTCTCTTCATTCTCTATTTTATTAATTTATAAAATTTTGATCTAATCAAGTTGCTAACAGAACTTAAAACCATTGAATAGTACAAATCTTGTAAAGAAAAACTACAATTCTCTCCCTAGGTCTTGTCTTTCCCCAGATTGCACCCCAGAGATGCAAGACTCACGAATATACAATATCAGACATAGTTCTAGTATAATTTCCTTATGTCGCAATGAATTAATCAATGTTTATGCTCATTTTTGACTCTGTTATGGTAAACGAGATCAGGATTCTTACAACTGTGTGTACACACACACACACACACACACACACACACATCCCTTTTACCTGAACTACTGATGTTACAAATTTTAAGTATTGTAAATTTTCCTTCTAGAGCTCTTTACCTTTTTCCCTTTCAGACACAACTAATACCTTTACTGGTTGTAGAATTGCCTGTTGACAGTCATTTCCCACATATTTTAAATGTCTCTTGATATTCAGTGTTTGTTGTTGAGAATTCAGAAGCTGTTCCTTTTTTCTGTTTCCTTTTATGTGATCTGCTCTACACCCTATTTGTAGTCTTGATGATTTACTCTTTATCCCTGGAATTCTGAAATTTCAAGATAAT